TTGTCAGTGGTATGTCAATTGATGTGAATTGGGCGGTAACATCAAAAGACACCACGGTCTTGTCCTCATCTATTCTTATGTCCTTGCAGGATTTGAGGAACTCCTGGGCTGAGTGGATTTAGTGGGGTGACTTGCTGACGAGGTGTCTTAGTCTTCGTTGTAATTCCTTGGCTAACCTGTGTGTTGGTGTGCCTGGGAGGGAGACTATGAGTCTGAGGGGTACTTCTGGTTTGTGTACTTTTGGGAGGCTGTAGAATCAGGGGTGGGGGGGGAAGGTGGGTTGTGGGTGGTGTTTGTCCCTTCAGGTTTCATTTTTAGGTAGTCTGCTTTGTTGAATTGTCCGGTCTGTTTGAGTCTCTTTAGTGTGTTGATTATTTTATTACCCAGTTGCGGTGTTGGGTCTATTTGCACTTGCCGGTATGTGTTTGTGTCTGCTAGTAGCGTCTGTGCCTCAGTGAGGTAGTTCCATTTGTTTAGTATTACTGTCATGTACCCTTTGTCCACTGGTAGGATTATGACGTTTTTGTCTTTTTTCAGTCCTTCCAGCACCTTCTTTTCTGATGTGTTGAGAGTGTTAAGTTCATTCCTTCTGGTCAGTGTTGGGACCACTGCCTGTCTTATGGCTTGTTGTGTTTCCTCATCAATGCCGTTGGTCTTCAGTGTGGATTTTAGTGTGGCTACGAACTCTGTCCTGTTAGCATCTCTGTGGCTGTAGTTGAATCCACGTATTACAGCAGCTTTCTTTGTGTCTGTTAGTTTCCTGTCTGAAAGGTTTCTTATCCAAGTGCCTGATCTTTGGTTGTCGTTTTGGTGGGTTAGTTTGGCTAGTTTTTCTTGTAGGATCTGTCTTTCCTTGGTTCTCGCTTTTTGTTGAATGATGTTAATGGCTCGTTCTAAGTCTGTTGTCCACTCTAGGTTGGTTGCGTCTAGGAATAGGGTTTTTTGGCAAGTAATTTCCCTGTCATATCTACGGAGCCGGTTTTGCACGTCATTAATCATTACCTTTACCATTCTGCAGCCATTGTGTTTTGCTGTCCTGTGTGCATGTGGGTTGTTATTGGGAGGTTTGTATCTAACACTGCGTGGTAATAACTGGTTCCTGAGGCATTCTAGGAAGTAGAGTTGCTTGCGGGTCACGCTGTCATTTGGCGTAGATTTCCCATTTCTGGGCCAGTTTGAGCGTACTGCACCCATAGGTGTCTAACCTGGACACAGAAAAAGCTGTTCTAATACGTGGAGTCAACTACAACCACAGAGATGCTAACAGGACAGAGTTCCTAGCCACACTAGAATCCACACTGAAGACCAACGGCATCAATGAGGAAACACAACAAGCCATGAGACAAACAGGAGCAAGTGCAGTATGGTTAAATTTAAAATACAGGTGGAGGTTGAGAAGGTAACATGCAATCCCAGTGTTTTACGCTTAAACAAAGGAGACTACAATGGGATGAGGGAGGAGTTGGTGAAGGTAGACTGGGAAAAAAGACTATACCATTGGACAATTGAGGAACAGTGGGAGGATGTTCAAAATGATTTTTCACAGTGCTCAGCAAAATTATATACCAGTGAAAAGGAAGGACTGTTGTAAAAAGGGATAATCAGCCATGGATAACTAAGGAAATAAAGGAGGGTATCAAATTGAAAGCTATTGCATATAAATTGGCAAAGATTAATGGGAAACTAGGGGATTGGGAAAACTTTAGATGTCAACAGAAAGCCACAAGGAAAGCTATAAAGAAAGGTAAGATGGATTTTGAGAATAAGCTAGCTCAGAATATAAAAAACAGATAGCAAAAGATTTTACAAATATATAAACAAAAAAAAGAGTGACTAACGTAAACATTGGTCCTTTAGAGGATGGGAAAGGGGGATTTAATAATGGGAAATGAGGAAATGACCGAGGCATTGAACAGGTGTTTTGTGTCAGTCTTAAGAGTGGAAAACAAAACTAACATGCCAATAATTGATGACAAGAAGGCTATAGCAGCTGAGGATTTAGAAATGATTGTTATTACTAAAGAGGTAGTGTTGGACAAGCTAATGGAGATAAAGATATACAAGTTACCTGGCCTTCATGGAATGCATCCCAGGGTATTAAAAGAGATGGTGGGGAAAATAGCAAATGCGCTCATGGTAATTTACCAAAATTCGCTGGGCTCTGGGGCAATTCCGGCAAATTGGAAAACAGCAAATGCGATGCCACTGTTTAAAAGTGGAGGTAGACAAAAGGTGGGTAACTATAGGCCTGTTAGCTTAACTTCTGTAAGGTGAAAATGCTTGATTCTATAATCATGGAAGAGATAGCCAGACATCTTTGTCCCATCGGGCAGGTGCAACATGGGTTCATGAATTGCAGGTCATGTTTAACTACTTTACTAGAATTCCTTGTGGACATGATGAGCGTGGTGAGCAACAGGAACCAATGGATGTGGTGCATCTGGATTTCCAGAAGGCATTCAACAGGGTGCCGCACATAAGGCTGCTGTATAAGATAAAGATTCAAGTTATGGGTAATGCATTAGCAAGGATACAAGATTGGTTAACTAACAGAAAGCAAAGAGTGGGAATAAATGGGTGTTTTTCTGGTTTGTGATCAGTGGCTAGTGGTGTGCCTCAGGGATCAGTATTGGGGTCGCAATTGTTTACAACTTACACAGATGATTTAGAGTTGGGGGGCAAGTGTAGCGTGTCAAAGTTCACAGATGATACTATGATGAGTGGGAGAGCAGAGTGTGCAGAGGATACTGAAAGTCTGCAGAATGATATAAATAGGTTAAATGAGTGGGCAAGGGTCTGGAAGATGGAGTACACAATGTTAGTAAATGTGAGGTCATCCATTTTGGTTGAAATAACAGCAAAATGGACTATTATTTAAATGGTTAAAAAAATTGCAGCATGCTGCTAAGCAGAGGGACCTGGGTGTCCTTGTGTGTGAATCACAAAACATTGGTATGCAGGTGTAGCAAGAAATTTAAAAGGCAAATGGAATATTGTTCTTCATTGCTAGAGGGATGGAGTTTAAAAATATGGAGGTAATACTGCAGCTGTATACGATGCTGACGAGGCCACACCTGGAATACTATGTGCAGTTTTGCTCTCCTTACTTGAGAAAGGATGTTCTGGCACTGGAGGGGATACAGATGAGGTTCACTAAGTTGATTCCCGAGTTGAGAGGGTTGGCTTATGCAGAGAGATTTAGTAGACTGGGACCATAGTCATTGGAATTTAGAAGGATGAGTGGGGATCTTATAGGAACATATAAAATTATGAAGAGAATAGATAAGACAGAAGCAGAGAAGATATTTCTACTGGCAGATGAAGCTAGAACTAGGAGACATATTTTGGAGGATAAGAAGGAGCAGGTTTAGGACGGAGTTGAAGAGGAACTTTTTCACCCAAAGGGTTGTGAATTTGTGGAATTCCCTGCCCAGTGAAGCAGTTGAGGCTACCCTGTTGAATGTTTTTAAGGCAAAGATAAGTTTTTGAATAGTAAAGGAATTAAGGGTTATGATAAGCAGGCAGGTAAGTGAAAGTGAGTCCATGAAAAGATCAGCCATGATCTTATTGAATGGCACAGCAGGCTTAAGGAGCAAATGGCCTACTCCTGCTCCTATTTCTTATGTTCTTATGCAGAGAGAGTGGTCCTCCAACAATCCGAATGAGTGAAGGGTGGAACTTGCAGACCAGACGTGGACGACAAGTCCTCCAACAAAAGGAGTGCGGCCGGAGCTGGCAGAACAGATGGGGAGAGACTGATCTTCTAAGAATCCAAACAAGTAAAGGTGCAGAGCTGGTGGACAAGGGAGAGAGACTGGCCCTCCAACAATCTCAGTGAATAAGGGGAGGAGCTGGAAGACCAGGAAAGAGAGATTGGCCTTCCAACAATCTGAATGAGGGGAGGAGCTGGAGGACTGGGGAGATCCAGACAGGTCCTCCAACAATCTCAGCGAGTGAGGGGTGGAGCTGGAGAACCAGGGGAGACTCTGGTCCTCCAACAGTCTGTCTCTGTGTGAGGGGCGGAACTGCAGGACCAGAGGGAGAGAGACTGGTCCTCCAACTATCTCAGAAGTCACACAACACCAGGTTATAGTCCAACAGGTTTATCTGAAATCACACGCATTCGGACCGCTGCTTCTTCATCAGGTGAAGTGACGGACGAAGGAGCAACGCTACGAAAGCTTGCGATTTCAAATAAATCTGTTGGGCTATAACCTGCTGTCGTGTGACTGCTGACTTTGTTGAACCCAATCCAACAGAGGCATCTCCTGATCATGACTCCAACAATCTGGGTGAGTGAATAAGGGACGGAACTGGAGGACCAGATGGGGCCGACAGGACCTCAAACAAAGCGGTTGAGTGAGGGGCAGAGCTGGAGGACCACAGAGGAGAGACTGATCCTCCAATAAAATGTAAGAGTGACGGACGGAGCTTATGGGCAAGGGGAGAGAGATTTTGTCCTCCAATAATCCGAGTAAGTGAGGGGCAGAGCTGGAGATTTGGAGGGGAGGGGCGGGAGAGGGAAGGGAGAGAGACTGGTCCTCCAACAATATCAGGAGCCATGCAAGACCAGGTTATAGTCCAACAGATTTATTTGAAATCACACACTTTCTAAGTACTGCTCCTTCGTCAGGTAAAGTCACGGACTAAGGAGCAAAGCTTCCAAATCTTGTGATTTTAGATAATCCTCTTGGACAATAACCTGCTGTTGTTGGGCTTTGTCGACCCAATCCAACAGCAGCATCTCCTCATCATCACTCCCACAATCTGAAGGAGTGAGGGAGGAGCGAGGTTGGTGTTCCGTGGGATATCTGGTCTTCTAATCATTTGAGTGAGGGGTGGAGCTGGAGGACCAGGGAAGACGGACTGGTCCAACGACAATCCCAGCGAGTGAGGGGTGGAGCTGGAGGACCAGGGAAGACGGACTGGTCCTCCGACAATCCCAGCGAGTGAGGGGTGGA